GTGTACTAATGTGGCAGATGGGGTCTGCAAAATACCCTGGTGAGATGAATTACATACAAAGTCATAAATTATCATGACACTTGCGTGTCTTGGTTCGCAATTCTGTAAGGAATAAATTACACAAATTTGAGTTTTGACATGCAAATACACTCTTTACGTCATTAGTGTTTGCTGCAAAAAAATGAATGTTTGGATAAAGAATTTTTCGGACTAAGTTACAGAGATATCCGTCTTCTGGGTTATTGCGCTGTGTAGAATAAATTCAATAAATTACATTACTGATTATTCAGTGTTTATCATAAAATATATATATATTTTTTTAAATTTCACGTACCCCCTAAGATGTCTTCGCATACCCCTGGGGGTACGCGTACCCCAGGTTGAATACCACTGCTGTAGACTAACCCTTAGGTAATAGGACCTGAAGTATAGACACCACACAGACTTTCTGGAACAAAACTCAAAACTTACATGCAGCATTGGTATAGAGGAGCTAAAATGTCCAGATGATCTCGGTGTGGATTTCCAAAACTGAAAGTTACAAATTCATTAATTAACATCTTTCTAAGACTACACACACCATTAACATAGGTATTACACAACACAATGAGATCTGGACATTTGGTGTTCTCAGCCACTTCTTCAGACAACAGCACATCATATCTTAAACTAATCCCCACATGAAGATTTCTGTCTTCTGGGTTGTTGCGCTGTGTAGTCTGGTAGATGTTAACCAACGTTTCAGAGGTCATATTCCGTCATCAGGACGGAGGCAGTATGACCTCTGAAACGTTGGTTAACATCGACCAGACTACACAGCGCAATAACCCAGAAGACGGATATCTTCATACTCACCGCTGTAAGAACCTCAAGTCTTACATAAGTTACAGAGCTTATAACAAAATGTACGAAATCCTAAAATTAATGCCAACATTACTATGAAACACAACAGAAGTCTACAGTAAGTATTTTGATTACATTGAAGATATCTACAGTATTTTTATTCATTATGATTTTATGAATAATTGTGAGGAATCAGGAATAAGTGACTACATAAATATCCTTAATAAGCATTTAAATTACGCAATGCACTCGATTCTCCGGTGCATTTGCATTTCATCAGGACAGACCCCACTCTGCTGCACACTCTGTCCACATGCCAACTCTTGTGTCATGACCCTGATCTGCAAGGAAATGTACGTTCATAATGCAAACAGTGCTGTCAATAAGGTAAATGTTAGGCTTGCACTGCAAATGTCAACCAACTGCTGACCTCTACGCCCAAACGCTTCATTTTTCAACAAATAATTCATTTATAAGTTGGCACAACTAATGAAAACAAAATTAACTGCAGAACAGTTTTCTTGTTCACCTCATCTCCAAAATACTTAATTATAAGTAAGATTGTAAATATAAAGGCAGAAAAACCCAACTTTAAGCTCATCTTTCTGTTACACTAATTATCCATTCTCTAAGGTATATCTAATATACGTGACTCCTGGTTTTAAGGAAGACACTTCTACTATAATGTTTCAATTTAAAACCAGCGTTGAATGCAGAATCTTCTGAACACTAAGCTAGTATGTTAATAAGTGGACTCTCAAGGCAGCACTAACCTGGTGTTCAAAAGGTCTAAGTTTAATGTCAACTGTTACTAAAGATTCTAAGCAAAAAATTAATCAGTCAGTATAACAACAAACACACGAAGACAGAAGTACTGCCAATTTCCAAACCTGTGTGTACAACAAATATACCTCAGAAAATGGACAGTGCCCAACAAAATAAATTAACCACTGTCACAAACCTTCATAAAATCTTCTTTCTAATACTTTATTGATCAATCCTCTTCTCAGGCCATAAACTGTGCTGATAACAATATAGAAGCAAGCATCTTAACACATTCACTGCCAAAATCAGAGATTTCCATTCATCAGAGGTAATTTAAAACTGCAAAGCTTTGAAATCTATCTTTAAACTTAAAATTATTTTAGGAAAAATGGGATAAGCCACAAAAATATGTTGCTTTAATAGTCTTTTACATGTCTACACATTACACACAACATTTTTTCTCTCTCCAGTCCCTCTTATTTATCACATTGCTGTTTTATAAATGCGACAATATTTGGCCCACGTGTGTTATGACAGTTTTGTGTTGCTTTCCTATGAGGACACAGCTGATACAAGAAATCGAGCGCTTCCTTCCTGAGTTCCACCGAAGCAAGAAATTACAAGTGCCAACAGTTGACAAAACTGCAGAAATTTGAATGACAGCAATTCTGATACAGACATTATTCCTGAATCAAGTTTATCAGAATCATCATCAGAAGACAATGGACCCATCTGAATGATAAGACAATTCATGTCAGCCAGGAATTTCTGAAAGACTTCATCACCCGACATTTCCCTTCCGCAGCGCAATTTGCAGTCTTGACAACCACGACATGATACGGCACCTCGAGCATTTTATAACCAACAGTCTCATGAAGAAACTTTTCACCAAACTAATTCAAACGCACCAACAAATTAAAGCAGAGCTACCAAAATGAAGCACAAAACACTGGTGTAGTCAACAGCAACAGGGCACAAACTTACAAAAATTAAAGAAATTTCTCATGTTTATTCTCACTGGAATTATATTAAAATTCAAATTAGAGAGGTTCTAATCAACATGAGGCATAATACTCATACCAATATTCTCTCAAACCATTTAATCTCATTCTTAGATACCTTCACTTCAACAACCAATGTAAATACTAACACTGATCACTTTTACAAAATTCTACCAGAAGATGATGTCTCTTTTGATGTTGTCCCATGTAGTCTTTTAGAAATACAGTGACATTTCCGAGGTGCTGACTAACTTCATCATCAGGTTGCCTTGATGATGGAAGCAGAAAGCATCTCTGAAACATCAATCAACTTATATTAAAACTACATGATGCAACATCCCAGAAGTCAGTCACGGACAGAGATGCTACTGCGAGAAACTGAAATCACACAAAATCCAGCCTGTTCTGGACATTCTTGTTGAAAGATTAAAAATGAACTATATTCCTGAAAAATACTTTCTCTTTATGAGGATATGCCACCAATGTTTCCAAGTCTACATTCCAGGAAGAATTACAACGCACGGTACAATGGCTCACAGGGTGCGAATGTGCACTGGGATATACACTTGAAACATGGAAATTTATGATGGGTGAATGACACCTTGGCTGAGACAGTGAGGTTCCTACCAAAGCCCTTTGAAGGGAAAGCCTACCATGTTTATCAGGCCAATCACTACATCAGCTTCCAACTTACAGAAGCCCTCTTGGACAAAAATATCAGTATGTTTAAGAATAATTTAAACTGAGGTGTTCCAAAGGACTTTGATGAAGAGATAACATCACGGGAACTTACGTTTTGAAACACCCAAGATATAAATGTCTTCAACTTCTGATACAAGCAATTGATAAAATACGGGATCAAAACTCTACACAGTACAAACTAGCGAAGCCCTGAGGAAAAGGGCACGTACGTCAACAGCGAAGCCAAATGTGTCACTCATTATACAGGGCACAGATTCTGCTAATCGTTATCTTTCCGATTGTCCCGTAATGTAAAGACAATAAAGTGGCCAAAGAGAGCATTCTTTTACCTTCTGCAGGGTGGTTTTCAGTTATTTCATTATCCACTCCAAACTCTACAGTAGGTCAAAGAAAACATTCCAAAGACTACATAATCGACATCATTTCATCACTAATAAATACGCAGTGATCGAGACACTATTTCATCTTCCTCTGACAAGTCTGATGTCTCACCATGAACAGTCATACCCACACCACCTAAATGGACACGTAACAAGGATCTTGAATGTCAACTGGACGGCGAAAAGAAGAATTATAAGATCATTCACGATTCTTCCATAAAAGGCGACACACAGCAAGCCACTGTATAGTGCGATAACTCAATAAGAATATCAAGATAGAAACAATATTTCCCTATGCTCCGTGCAGAGTTTGGCTGCATCCTAAAAGCTGCTATACACAATACCGCATCCTCAAATTCTACCAAAATATTTTATTTTCTCTCCCAAAATTGGTAAAATATTTTATTTCTTCAGATAAAACAAAAAGCACCCACGGTCTTGGTATTTAACGAGAGGTGAAAAATTTAATACTTGCAGTGAATGTGTTAAAACACCACAATTTATTAAACCATGATGTGGCTCATATCCTCAGACGACTTCTATGACTTACATTCTCAGTTACTTACATATTTTATTACTCAATTCTCAGCCATGAAACTCATCTGTGTTTCTGTTGGTGAAACAATGTAACAGATGAAAAACTTAACTTCCCATAAACAGCGGACAGATCTGTATAACAAAGTATAAACTAATCCTCTGGTGAAAATATTCTTGTCAGTTCCTCGAAGTTCATTACCACAGAATGAGCGAGTGAGAGAGGTCAATCTAATCCACACCCTCAAAACTTATTTCTCCAACAGCCATTATCGTATTTCATAAGTATCTTGTGCGGTCACATTGGAAGATTTCTCTCTCAAAACTGCACAAGCATTTTGCAGTCCTTCAATGTCAAGGACACCTTAATCTCCTGATTTTAATATCTTATCAATATCTACATAAATCCCAGTTCCGAAAAATCCATTTCAATGAAACTTTCGGTCTGCACATCGACACTAGAACAGATTCTGCTGCCGAATTTGATGTCAAGATCCTCATGCATTACCAGCATGCAGGCAGTGACGCTCCCTTTGCCTCTATCATAATGGCCAACCCCCAAAATATTAATCACAAAAACACCGGGTAAAAGTGCAAAGATATAAAACCACATCATCATTCTTGTATCAGTGCAACCACTACAAAGAAAAATCTTTCCATCCTTGCAGCGTCTTCCTACAAGTAGCATTTCTTTGGGTTGATACCATTAAAGTATGGGGGATTCTAATAGGAGTTTACTGTTTCGACACATTCTTTCCACTTCCTTCTACAGTGCTATATTGATTCCTTTTACTTAATCACCCTGATATTACTCTATAGACTAAATCACAAAAAATATACTCTGTGACACAATACAAATAACTGTGAGTATAAATGGACACGTAACAAGGATCTTGAATGTCAACTGGACGGCGAAAAGAAGAATTATAAGATCATTCACGATTCTTCCATAAAAGGCGACACACAGCAAGCCACTGTATAGTGCGATAACTCAATAAGAATATCAAGATAGAAACAATATTTCCCTATGCTCCGTGCAGAGTTTGGCTGCATCCTAAAAGCTGCTATACACAATACCGCATCCTCAAATTCTACCAAAATATTTTATTTTCTCTCCCAAAATTGGTAAAATATTTTATTTCTTCAGATAAAACAAAAAGCACCCACGGTCTTGGTATTTAACGAGAGGTGAAAAATTTAATACTTGCAGTGAATGTGTTAAAACACCACAATTTATTAAACCATGATGTGGCTCATATCCTCAGACGACTTCTATGACTTACATTCTCAGTTACTTACATATTTTATTACTCAATTCTCAGCCATGAAACTCATCTGTGTTTCTGTTGGTGAAACAATGTAACAGATGAAAAACTTAACTTCCCATAAACAGCGGACAGATCTGTATAACAAAGTATAAACTAATCCTCTGGTGAAAATATTCTTGTCAGTTCCTCGAAGTTCATTACCACAGAATGAGCGAGTGAGAGAGGTCAATCTAATCCACACCCTCAAAACTTATTTCTCCAACAGCCATTATCGTATTTCATAAGTATCTTGTGCGGTCACATTGGAAGATTTCTCTCTCAAAACTGCACAAGCATTTTGCAGTCCTTCAATGTCAAGGACACCTTAATCTCCTGATTTTAATATCTTATCAATATCTACATAAATCCCAGTTCCGAAAAATCCATTTCAATGAAACTTTCGGTCTGCACATCGACACTAGAACAGATTCTGCTGCCGAATTTGATGTCAAGATCCTCATGCATTACCAGCATGCAGGCAGTGACGCTCCCTTTGCCTCTATCATAATGGCCAACCCCCAAAATATTAATCACAAAAACACCGGGTAAAAGTGCAAAGATATAAAACCACATCATCATTCTTGTATCAGTGCAACCACTACAAAGAAAAATCTTTCCATCCTTGCAGCGTCTTCCTACAAGTAGCATTTCTTTGGGTTGATACCATTAAAGTATGGGGGATTCTAATAGGAGTTTACTGTTTCGACACATTCTTTCCACTTCCTTCTACAGTGCTATATTGATTCCTTTTACTTAATCACCCTGATATTACTCTATAGACTAAATCACAAAAAATATACTCTGTGACACAATACAAATAACTGTGAGTATTTTATTTTCCTGCTTTGCATTTGAAAGCCCTATATTTCAAGTCTTGACTACCAAAGTAGCTACAATGGCAAATATTTTTGGTCTCTCCAGGACAATGGTAAGACGGTACCTTCAAATAGCGAGTGCAGCATACAATTAGAAAATCATGTGTATGAATACTGTTCTCCTTCAGATTATAATTGACACTACGTAGTCTGAGCTAACGTAAAAGCATCAATAAATAAATTATAAATAAATAAATTCAGATTATAAATTGGGGACAAAATCGATAACTCCTAAAAACAGGCAGGATAATGAAAGATCCCGTATTCAACAAAACTGCATAAATTTCAAGTGTCAAGACTATCCACCTTCTTCTTACAAATTGCAAGGCAGATATGGCCATATTATATGAATGTAATAAAAAGAAATCACAAAATAAATACGAGTAATGCCTTGAACAGTACAATTTTGCACCTTAAATCATGTGCAGGATAATACAATTTGTTTTTGAATTTTCTTTTATAAAATCAATTGGTTGATTTCAAAATCTTCTCATACTGGCCCCCACCCCCAAAAAGAGAAAAAAATCCCCTTTATCCCCTGAATCAGTTAATACGACTGACAATGACTGAAAGGGGAAAGAAGAGTGCCCTGGAAGAGGCAAATCTGTCGTCAAAATTCAACAAACAAATCACTTTGGAACACTGTTCGAAGTGTTCTTCTGTCCCATCTTCAGCATCAGAGGTCAGCAGTTTTGCACGAGGGGTGACACACACAATGCGCTGCACACCATTACCTTGCTGTTTGCGAAGAGCAGACCAACGCCCTCCATGCAAACCTGGAGCAGACCGCCTTCTCCTGTACGCATGTCCTGAACAGGGAATTCCCCACCCAGTTCCACGCCTGCCAACACGCCGCTCCCACGAGCTGCAGCTCGCTCCATTGCCTCTTTTATGGCGTAGTACAGTTCCTTGCACTGCAAACATGAAGAAAATGTCAGGACCTCTTCCTTTTGCAATAATCACTACTGTGTGAGAGTTGCATACAATTGTACAAAGAGTTTCCTTAGCAACTGACAGTAATGCATGTGCTCGAGAAACGTTTCTTACGGAACACGAAAGCTGGCCACAGCATTGAGCTGAATTATCCCCACGAGTAAGCCTATGTCTCAAGTGGCTTCTCTGATCAAAACAGTAAAAATATGTAGTCTTGTACAAACCGACATATGTTTCGCATGTGTTTACTGCCTCCATCCTCAGTGACCTGATGACAGAGGCAGTAAACACCTCTGAAATGTCAGTCAATTTGATTGAGACTTCATGATGCAACATCTCACACTAGCCACTATAAGAACCTGAAATCTTTCTTTAAGAAAAAGCAACAAACCACAAACTAAAAGAACTGCTATCTGTACATATCTGAAGTCAAAAAGGACGTAAACTTAGAATTATCAAAAAAACAGAAACATTTACAAATTTATTGCCAACCCTGTTGGAGGTGAGGATTAATTTTACATAAAAGCAGCCATAAATCTCATACCACAACAGTTTACCTTCTTTGTGTAGTACTTGTGGAGTTGCGTTTGTCCTCCGTTCCGTCTCCAAAGGCAGAGAACTTTGTTTTTTGGGCTGTATGTCATATTAACAAGACGTTCAAACCACCAACGTTCAACGATAGTTCCATTAACAGAACGTAGCACCAGGCCATCCTCTCGCACTTCTAGGAATAACAAATCTCCTGATGCGTCAACACCGGCATGAACTGTGAAGCTTTGTCTATGCACCTGACGTGAACCCAGGGGTTTCAGGTCAATGTCGTTACCATGCTGTAATGAGTATCACCACGCGCTTAGCTTCGGGTGTAAGAAGTAGGTCACCATGCAATGCACAAAGTAAATGGTATTATAAGCAAGATTAAACTCCTCTTACACAGGAGCCCACAATCAGCTTATATCTTGAGCCAACTTAACCTGCTTATACTATTAACCTTTACCACCAGTGTGCCACGGATTAGACACGGTCCACTTGGCGAAATTCTGCGGGAGCACATAACTAGAACGTTAAAATCCAGAGTAAAAGTTGAGCCAGCGCTCCGTATGTCTGGGGTTCACATCCTCTATTCTTGTGCAAAAGACTAATATCAACATTTGAAAGAACAAAGTCAGTAATATACTCTAATCCCTCTTTTTGGTTATCAAGACAGCATTCCCAATCAAAATTCTGCACGTGTTTCTTGTTTATTCCATCTGACTTCTGAAGGTGACATACCCTAAAAGTAATAAAAGAAGGTATATGAGGCGCGGGGAGGGGTTCTTACCAAATTGTTGATCTGGTCAAGGAGTTCATTCACCTCCTGACTGTACACGAGGCCAATGTGACTTTTACCCAGAAGTCGCCGCACCTTGCGCTTCAGCTCAAACTTGTTCACGTTCACCATCACCATTATCGCCACCAGATTGTACAGCATTGTTGACAGCAGACGGTCCTCGTCGTGTTCAAGACGCTTGCGCTCTGTGTCACTTAGAGAGTTGTACCTGAGGCAGATACAAGATGACATTGCATGCACCTTCTTAAACGTGACAGCAGTTAGAAAAATGCTGAGAAACCCAAAGGGGTATTTTCATTCACATAAAATCAAAATTATAGTACTTATAAATTGGTGTCAAAGAAGCAGTGTCATATATCTCACTGATCTTTGTTCTACCCACGTATTAAAGGATATAAATCACGGCATTTTTCTTCATCATACTGTTTTTCTTGTGTACTAATACTGAGCCAGACTCATGGCAGTGGAAGGTAAAAGAACTGTCCATCAGTCTGAACAAAGTTCAGACAATCTTACAGCTCCAATCACTGCTATATAGTCTGAACTACTGAAACAAGAGTTGCTACTATATAGTCTGAACTACTGAAACAAGATTTGCTAAAACTATAAATAAATAATAAATTCAGCTCCAAGTTCATAAAGTGTGGCTTTTAAAACAGAAGACATGGGTTAAATTAGTAATAACTTCTACTAATTCAAATAATAATAAAATGTATTCAATACAAGATGTTACTGTTATCATCTGAATTGTGCCTGAACATTTTAAATGTATCCTCATGCAAAAATGTAAGTTGCTCACTCCTTATTTAGAGTTAAGTAAGAAAGTGGATTGTTATCTTGGGTGGAATGAACAAGTGTAATTTCTGCCAGGAATCTTCCTTCGTCTCATACGTTGCTTCCTACGATAACTGCACTCTCTTACTGTCAAGGAATTCCACAGATGTTACGTGAATTACTGCTTACTCACGCCAAATGCAGTGCTACTCGAAGCAACATGAAACAGGTTTTACTCAAATACAGAAAGACGAATCACTCTGTGACATTAGAGTATATTTCAAATTGTCTTATAAATATTGAGGGCAGTATCCACTTCATCTATAAGAGAGCTTCCTAATATACAGCATGCTAACCAGTATGAGTGCGACAAGTCTAGACGTGGTTCTTATTTGAGATCATTCTGAAAATGATATAAATCACAAAAATGTAATTATTCACCCATACAAAACTGCCATAGGTTTGATACAAACACATTTTTGTTAGCCTAACCAGTTTCATGGGTATACAAAATTAAACTAGAATGTGTACAGTACTTCTTTCTTGAATTAAATGCTTTCCTGAACATCTTATTTATTATGCCATCACATTCCAATCTTCACTCCAATTTTTATGAATACAGAACATCTGATCAGAACCTAAATATATTGCATCAAAATTGACAATGACGGTCCAAAATAATTTTGAAGATTGCTGTCTTGTTGTGTCATGTAGTCTGGTAGATGTCCAACGTTTCAGAGGTCCGTACTGCCTACATGGCACAACAACCCAGAAGACAGCAATCTTCAGACTCATCACCATGAAAACCTCAAATCCTACCCAAATAATTTTGTCTGTGCATGGAGAAGAATGTTGGCCAAAATTTGGTATAAGTTCATAAGTATGAAATCACTCAGTAATTACTACATTCAGAGGTCCTTTCTTCCTCCATCATCATGGCAACGAGACAGCAAGGGCCTCTGAAAGATCGGTAAATGTCTACCAGACTATGTGGCACAACAACCCAGAAGACAGCCATCTCCGGACTTACCGCCATGAAAAGCTCAAAACATACTTTTTTCAGTATAAATTTAAATCTCAAAGAAACCAGGCTCTGGCACCAGTTGCTCAGAAGAATGCATTTCTGTCTGTATAAGATTGTTAACCCATGCAAATTTCATAGTTGACAGAAGCAGTTTTTCCACCTATTCAAAATACTATGGGAATCTGCAAGGAAATTACCATTCACAGTCAGCTACAAGCTGGTAATCCTTCTTAAAGACCTACATCTGCAAATAAGAACGTAGGATTTATGTTTTCCTTGTTTATTTCAACGTTTGAGCTTACTGATTTCATCTTACCCAATTTCCTTCTCCCCCAAGCTCTACCAGTCTCACATCTTCGTACATTGTTCGGATCGTGTCCATTCACATGGTTTTGATTCTGCAACCACTGCAATTTAGCCAGCTTCTTTTTACATGATATGAGCACTCTTCATCGGCCATTGTTTAAGCTGAATTTTATCGGTACAGATGTTATCATCCATGTTTTCCAGGAGCAGTATCAGACTTCAGATTTTAACGTGATACGAAACTTGAAACTTTCATGCTGTGGCTTCTTGAAATTAGATATTTCCATATTAAACTTTTGTGTTGCACATTTGCTTGTTCACTGTCTCCATAACTTTTATATCCAGCACACAGCGGAAAGTAAGACACGATCTGACAACAATTATGTGTCTTTCATCTATCAGACACAATCAGTCTGACCGTGTTCCTCCCTATCAGGATTAGTTCAAGTACATTTATAAACTTTGCAATGTGAGAATGTTACATTTTCTGGTGTGGTGAAGTTTATTACTTTAATCCCACTATTCTCAGTAATTTAATGTAAATTCTCACTCCCAATTGTCGGCAAATATCTTGCCTTCGTACTTCTGCACCGAAATCTCCGAGCAACATCTTCAGACGTACTCTGGAAATTCGTCACGCTCTAGGTCCTTATAAAATGTATCCTTTGCATCATCACTCTTATCCTCAACTGAAGTATGAACATTCAGATACAAATATCACATGAAAGAAATTATAACATTAAAAATAAAATTCTATCCCTAAAATACTTTACCGTCTTCACCAGTAATCTCCAAGAATGCAAAAGCCTTCCCCTATGTGATGAAAAGCATTCCCTTTTCCATAAAAAATGTATAATTATCTTCTGGTTCACTGATCTCCTGCACTCCTGCTACATGTAAGTTACACACCCTAATTCCTTCCTATTATTTGTAATGAGCCTGACCTATACACACTCATATATGCTACAAGAACAAAATAGTGCAAGTATGTATTATTGTTACGTCTGACAGTCTACTTTCATAGAAATCAAACTGAACAAAGTTAGCATATAATGAATGGCAAATGAATTCAATATTGATTTTCAGCAGTTGTTGTTTCATGTATATGGGGCATGGAGCACACTTCATTCCACTATTCTTTAAAAGCTCCAATGAAATTTCTGGTATTTTCTGTGAGAAATGCACAATGACACAAACCTCTCCATCATCTCGCCGGGTCCCTGATCCATACCGACCATATCTCGCTCCTGCGATACCGCGTCCAAGAATGCGTCTTCCCAAAACTGCATCTGGTCCCACACGGTTGAACGGTCCTTCCCTATCAGACCTGTCACAACAGTTTGAAATTTAAACCTTCTGGTCTTAAACTTACGCACAATAACTTCCTCTGAGAACAAACTCTCTTTTCACGCATTTCACATACATACGGTATCAACACCAATTAACGTTCACCCTCTATATTTAGGTTGTAAGTATTATACAGCGTTTCGAAGTCATGGCTGAGGAAATTGGTTAGCTTTTCTAATTTATCCTCTAGTTCACACTATTTTCTTACGGGTCATACACAAATTAAATATAAGTGTCTGACCCTAAACAATACGAATGCTGTCCTAACACAGGCTCTAGGGCTTCCATGCAGCACTTAAAAGTACACACTACAACTCTCAGAGCAAATACAAATCACCAGAGCAAAGACGTTTTTGGTGATGCCATGAAAGAATGTCTCCTATACACACCACAAATTGCTGACAGCCAATCAGAATGCTGTTACTGAATGAACAGTTGTTATGTATACTTAAATACTTTGTCACACAATTCTGTCAATAACAGTTCTGGAGCATTACACTACAGATACAGGGCACATTACACAGTTCTAATACACCTTATTCTCATTTCAAAGGAACCTGATTCAAATTCTGATTGAAAACTGGCTACTGGGAGGTGCCTTATTCAAAACCTCATTTCAGCCTGGCTAATAGGAAGTTTCCAATTAAAATACTGGTTGGAAGCTGGTTATATCGACTGACGCTTTCAAAGTTTTCCTCAGGGACAGCTCCGTAACACAGACCATGACCAATTCAACCGTCTTTTTTATCATATTTCATTTAATATAACATAACCTCTGTAAATGACAAATTGTCATAACATAACTGGACAATCAAAAAACAAAATATTATATTTTAATGTTCCTTACCATCCAGGTCCATACATTTTAATAACTGAGGAAAATAAAACTGAGTGTTAATGAAACAAACACACCTTCAAACAGATAAGTCCGGCCAGTGTCAGGACTTGGTGTGGTGGCCGTGTTGATCATGCTGCCACCATGGTAACGGAAGCCAGTGCTGAGAGATGATTTGCTGGACCACACACTAGGTGTCTGCTGCTTTGACTGGCGGGGGAACTGAACAAAACAAAGCATAAACGATCTGCAAATGTGAACAGAGAGCAACGACACACCATCCGGCTTACAGCATGACAAAACCACACAAATACTTGAAACGAGCACTCGATGTCTCACCCATTATTTGACAATAAATTGATTGTGTTTAACATGAGTAGCATTTCACCTTTTCAACGTCAACTCATTGCCCACATGTATAATCTGCTGTAGCGCATATGTGTTTTCAGCTTGTTCGCTTCTGTTCAACACGTTAACCTAAGTTACACTCATGTTAGGCACATCTGACTTTCACTCCAGATTAGTGAACGTCGTGGTCGAGTGATTAGCACTCCTGCTTTGTATTCGGGAGGTCCCAGGTTCAAATCTCAGCCTGGAAACCAGCTTTCCTGACTTAGGTTTTTCATGGTTTTCCTCAGTCCCTCCAGGCAAATGCCAGGATATTATCTTAAATTAGGCCTTCCACATCCTTTCTAATTCATTACTCTCATTAAACACTGCATAGTCTGAACTAGTGAAGAAGCGTCGTTAAATAAACTAATAATAAATAATTTATTCCAGATTCAGAAAACAATTTTTTTTCCCAAAATAGAACTGAGAAATTCCTCCACAGTTATTCATGTAAGACTTCATTTGCCAGGACTTCCGAGTTCTTGACTGTGGAGGAGAAAGGGTCATAACATGCTCACCATCCTCTTATTCATTCTGTCTCAACAAAAGTTAACACCAAGTCATGGCAGTACAGTCACGGAAACCCAGAGTCCAAACCCCTTCCATGCTTTTAGTAGCCCATATGTAAATCATGACAAATTAACTAAATAAGTCCATACAGCAAGACCCTTCTCAAGAAGCTAACAGCCACCGAGACAGACAAAACATTCTGCAACATTTATGCAACCCAAAGGTTCACATGACTTGACAGCTTGACAAAAATCAAAACAAACATAACCTATAAATATCAGGAATATAAAAGGACAAAGGCAAATATTTGTTAGCCCTGTGAGGAGTGACATTTAAAGGGCCTAAACACAATTTTTGGTAATTTCACAAAGAGAGAAAGATATAAACAGAGAAAAACACTAAGAACTTGGCGTAATCAGTCCCAAATAGATGTATGAAGCTTGCAGTCATCAGCAAAGCATAGATTAGCCGAACATGTGCACTCTACAGTGCAAACAGATTAGAAAATGTACAGGTACATTCATACTCCAAGCACTAACCTGATGTTTAAATACTGGTATTATAAGTAATTAAGAAAAAATGGTTACTATGACAGAATGATAGGATAAGGAGGTTCAATTCAATGCCTGATAAGCAACGTGACACATCCTTTGTGTTGGGATAATCGATCAAGTTGCTACAACGTAACTGTGCGTAAAGCAGCTCAATGACTGTCAGGCAGCCACACCCACCAACCAAAACGCAAGATTTTTCCACTACACGATGGTCTGGTCCACCACAGCCTCTGAAAACCATGCAAGGTGCCATGACCCCAGTGCCCAAGTCTTCACCTTGCTGGTCTCTGTACGCGCTTCAACATCTGAGGTAACTGTGCCCTTTGGGAAGAATTCAGACACAGCCAGGAGACGAAACTTGTTACTAACCTAAAATTTTGATTGGCTATCAGTCTGGTTATAAATTCCTTTTGATGAATACAACACAATGGACCTGTACCCAGTTCAAGCACTTACATTGCTGGGCCCATAATGTTATGGACCCCTAAAAGAGGATGTTCTGGTTATGCCACAAATCACCATGGGTGCAAACTTCAGAACATGTATCTCCAGAAATACCTTTTTAAACAAATTCGACCTTGCTGGATATATACATCTCCCATGATGAATTTCAAATCAGTCTCTGCCACCTGCAGAAGAATTTAAAAACTGCTGTACTAGTGACAGAACACCCTATACCGTACACTGACTGACCTCATGGTCATAACTGGGACAGTAAAAGTGTTATCCATAAGCAGATCTCGTACATGTAAGATTCAATGTTTTCACAGCGGTGAGTCTGAAGATTGCCGTCTTCTGGGACGTTGTGTGGTGTAGTCTGATAGATATCCACATGTGGACATCTACCAGACTACATGGCACAGCAATCTTCAGATCTCACACAGTTACAGATCACCAAATTTTGAACTTACTGCCAACTGCAGAATCAACAAATTTCATGGTTAAGAAAGATGCGGACATTATTCCTACAGAGAGTAATAGTTGAAATGCAAGTAGTGATGCACAAATAACACAACAAAGTACACATAAAACTATATAAAACAATGGTACTTTGCACAAATGGAGTAATAGCACATTCCTTCCCGCTGTACACAAATTCTGTGACAAAATTTTATGCAGACATATTAGCAGGTGATATGACCCATAAACCCATAACATTAGATTATTTCCAGTTGTTTATACCACCTGATAACATATATAAAATCATGCATACAAACAAAATTGTTTACGCTGGAAAAGACCCTTAGTGCCAGACATGTTTCGACCTCAAGAAGTCATCATCAGTGGCAAACAAATTAATTCATATTAAATCATACAATTCATAAAACGACGGTTTGTTATAAAGCATAAAAGGTCATACTTTAAGTAACACCGCACGGACGTTGATTGCACAAGAGTATTATCTAAATTGAGTACTTAGCTTTATGTCCGTGGTTGCATCGTCGACAATGCAACCACGGCTCACCGTAGACTAACAGTGGAAATCAGGCCAGTGAACATAAATGGTTTGACTGCAATGAGGGACTAGAATCGAGGTAATACGTAATTCATGTCATTATTAATTATTACAGTGAAAAGCATGGATGGCCACAGGCACCCACATAAATTACTACCCTCTGTGGCGCTTCATGTACTCATAACAGATGACAACACTCACCCTCCACCTCAACACAATAAAATGCGAGCTCTGGTACATGCCTGAACTTACAAATCATCTGCAAATATTCCATCCCAAATTATTCTAATACAAATATGAACTAGACTGAAGCTGTGCTCAATAGGATCCTGTAATGGGCTTTTGTGATCATAGTTGGGCTCGCAGCAAAGAGCTTGTGGACTAGACAAATAAGTACTAACTGCTCAAGGAAAATATTGTACCATGGAATTAGCACACAGTTGGATTACTGATGATTTGAGTCATCTTGTACATTTCCAATGACAGCAGCAGGAGTTTTAATTGTCACTTAACAGAAGCATACTTATGCTGATATTAATGCTCTTGTGCTACACTTTGACATGTATATCGTAAGACTGATATTTGTTCAGAATACTGGATGTATGGGGCACGACTGTAAATCAGTAACTGGATTAATTTCACGTGACTATAGCAAGCATCTCCAAGTTCGTTACTCAGGTGAGTCACTTACGTTGCCTTGTTCTATCTCGCTATCAGACACAGTACTGCGGAATGAGGCCTGGTGCCCGGCCACTCTTTGCCTCGCAAATACAGGATTGGTTATGATGCTGCCTGCATCTGAAGCATTGCAAGATGCGACGCCCTCAGCCGAGCCGTGCAAAGTGCTCTCTGTCCCACCCTATAAGAAACAAAATAAAAAACAGTGGAGGATGCAGCACAACCAAATGTTCCTCTCCGAATCTGGGGCAAATAAGAAGACACTGAGACGTCAGCCTTCAACATGGAAATGTGGCATAAGGGAAGTCACTAGGAGATATCTGGGCCTGGTTTACATTTAAGTAGTGTTATGGGATATCCAAACTTTAAAACTTATATTTTGCCTCAAATGTGATTTGAACTGCAAAACCTACTTTCACATGCTACCCCAAGGACACATAATCTTTCAGCGAGACACAAATTGTTATTATTGACCAAAGAGGACTCCAAGATGTTTCAGCAGTAAGCCTATTTTATAACAACCAAGTAATTGGAAAAAGTACAGCATAAAACATTTGATCATTCAGTCTTGCAAAGTTGGTCTAAAATATATTCCATATACCTGAATATGTAATCAAATATTTTTAAAAAAATAATTTTGGAGGTGGCTAAAATCTGGCTGGACTGAATCACGAAACATTAAAATATAAAAGCTTGCCTTAAAAATGTTTTGAGATCAAAGTTTTTGACTATTTCTCACGGTTCAAAACTAAACTGTAACCGGGACTGGCAATCACATCCAGTGGTTTTCTCACATCCTTCACTGTTGCCAAGATAACAGAAATTAACACAAAATGTTTCCCCATGATGTACAAACTTAATATAAATAAAAAAAAGAAAAAGAAAGAAAAGAATGTCAAGTTCTGTCCCAGCTGACATGGAGCCGATATCAATGCAGTCATCGCAGTAAACATCGTTTTGCTGTGATAGTGGTCATGATTTGTAACAGAACTGTCTGAATGTACACACATTAGGACAAAATTCTCAAATGGGATAACAGTTGCAACATCACCAGAATATTACTGCCTGCTGAAAGTCTGGAGAACTTCCTAGTATAAGAATAGCAAAAAAAATAATTAATTAATGCATGCACCACGATTCCTTAAACATAATGACAAACTTTAGTATTTATCTTATTTCTACATACGCTTGTATAGTGCCAAGTGCATTTTCTATTTCAATTAAGTATTCAAAATCCAATTTTGATTGCTGTCATACCGAAACACGATCACATCAGAGTGCTGATTAACTTTGCCAGTCTTCTTCACACAGTTAAACTCAAACACAGATTTCTCATATTTTTCATGTTCCATTTGTGAAGTATAAACAAAAATCCACAACATTTTACACTCAAATATTATTAATTCAAACAGTGATACCACACTTGCAACAACTTTTCACATACATCAGCTCACTATCATATTGATAAATCCTGAGAAATTCCAAACTGAACTGTAAAACCATATTAATGTCAGTACACTGCGTTCTCTGTGTCACAGTAGATGACAGGAAGATTTCTAAAGTCAAAGTCTGCACTACTTTTTAAAAGATACAGACTGAATCATACCAACCTAAGCATCCACATTCACATAGCAGAAAGCTAATAGTACGGTTCCTTGCATCTAGTCATACATAAGCTAAAGGAATACATTGTCTTCAGTCTCATATCTGATAATTTGAAGTGTCGGTGGCATATTTATTCATCTGTTGAAACCCAAATCTGAGTACTGATTTGTTATTTTACAGTGGCCCTTTGAATCAGATTGTGCTGTGAATTTGGGCGAGTTTAGTTGGATTGCAAATATTATGCCTTTTCACCATCGTACAGACATTTTCTTCAGTGTCAGCTAACATGTCATGAATCCACCTACCAATGATACTGTCCAAAAGAGGGATCTTTCTAACTTCATGTTCAGTTTCACTCCCAAATACTGCTTTTATCAGCTGGTAGGATCAGAACGTCAGACACTGTATGAGGTTTCACTGTTTCAGCTATCAATTTTCCCACTGCATAATTGACCTCTTGAGCTGTGTCTCAAATTGTTGCTATTCTCGTAAAGGCGAAGCGCTGTTTTCCCAGCATTTAAAAGTCTTTCAAAGTAGTCCTGAGATTTGCAGGACTCGTCTACATTTTACGAGAAAATGCTGTGGGCCTATGTGATACCACTGCTTCATTTCGTAGTGCAACACCACAATGAAAATTATCTGGGCAAATTTCACATTAAAATGATTTCTAGTTCTTTCAGTCATCAGTGCCTTGCTTGTTGTGAATGAAATTTCTATTTTTCATGGATAAAGATAAATTTTATCTGAAAGGTCCTGCTGTGTTGAAGTGTACGGATTACCACCAAACCATGACAGTTAAGACTTTTTTTTAGTTTTCAAAGCATTAGCCAGGCTAACATGGTTAACATAAACACTACGCCCCTGACTCTAACTGAACAAGAACCACAGAGGATCACTGTGCACTCACAAATTAAATGGCATCTGGCAACAGCAGAACACTTACAAAGTGATATATCATCATGAGAATATTTCCATTTCTAGCCTCACCCTCTTTGAATGAGCAGTAGCAAAGGTTCTGGATACATGATTTTACGGACGTACCTCAAAAGCAGAACCACAGCTCAAAACAGAGCTGGATATCTTGATATTAGAAATTCTCAGCATTTTATGGAACCAGAATGTTCATTACCATGTTCACAAGAGCCCACCACAAATCCATGTCCTTAACAAGAAGAAACCAATCCACACACTGAAATCCTAAGATCCGCCTTAATATTATCTTCTCATCTATGCTTAGTTCTTCCAAGTGATCTCTTCCCTTCAGGCTTCCCAACTAAAATTTTGTACAAATTTCTCTCGTCTCCCACATGTGCACTACATGTCCTGCCATTGAAAAATTGGCTATTTTTTAAGTAATTAAAATAAAAAATAACAATCATAAACATAGCAGGAAATTATGGGCATAAAGAAAGCAATTTCATGAGATTATGCAATTAAATTATAAATAAAAAGCTAATGAAATACCTAGTAGCAAAATGAGAGGCGTTACATTTATATAAGTTATGTAAGAACTATTACTAAACGTTTTAAAAATATTTAAGGCAGCATTATATGCAAACAACACAATTAAAAAGAATCTACAATCAACACCCCAAAGTATTAATCATGAAACAACAGGAATCAATAGACTCGCGTGTTTGGATTGACAAAACTCACACACAGGTTCAACTGCGCATTCTCTTAGCATATGACACAGAAAACAAAGAAAGAAATCAAAATAACAGAGATGATTCAAATTATGCTCTCATATATTAAATGATGAACATACTCATGGGATAACAGACCAGACAATGGGCAAATTTTACATTTACATAAACTCACAGAACAACAAAAGAACAAAACAGCAATGGAATACTTACAGAGTGGTCAGAATAAAAGGGAATGCACAGTTGCTGAAGTAAGGAGCAGACGGTAATGCAAGAAATCTCGAGTAGAATTACATGTCCTTCAATAACACACAAATCAGACACTACACACCACAGGAAAACAAGAATAACATAAATATGAAGGGCAAAGAGGCTAATCACAACAGACAACTAATGACAAGAGAAAAGGAACCAATTAACAGAAAACTTATAAAAATGCACTACGCTTGCAGACCAAAGGAGAATTGCGCATATATGGAGCGCAAAACTACACAGGAACACAAATCAGACATTAACATGTAAAGAACTCAATCAAACCATGTCAGTTAACCCTTTGAAGTGAAAGCTCATGTAAACAACATATAAATATCCAGTTCTTACCACAGAGAAAAAACAAAGCATCTTCATTGCTAACAATATTTAAGGTAACTATCACTGTTTATTTTTAGAATCATATGAATTCCATAAATAAACTGCATGTAGAATGCAGAGTTACTGAATTGTAAGTAGGTGGTATGTATAGTTACCACTAATTTTTAAAATGGTATAATTAATAGAAAGATTCTAATAATTATAATAGACGGCAATCTGTTAAAAATGTACATATAAATACATGTCACAATGTACCATACAAATGTAACACTGTATCCCATGTACAGAATTTAGTACCAGATTTAAAGAAGATACATGTGACTGAGACAAATCATGATATTCTAAATGTACTTTGTATTATAAACACAAATATGAAATTAATAAACGACATAATGAACCTGTTAAAAAATTGCATAGGGGGATGAATATGGAGTCTGGAGAAATTACATGTTTACAAATATATACATCTGAACGCATTAAACAAACAGAAAACAGATTTAAATACTTAGGATACTTAGGTGACCCATTTTAACAGTGCCTTGAGCATGTGTGGGTCCCAACTTTTTCGTTGGCTCGATCTATAGACATTTTGTAGGACTCCTTGGACGAGGGATCGGCCCGTCGCAAGGCCTCTACCTGTAGACAGGACAGCACAACACAGAAAAACGTCGACAAACATCCAAGGCTTGAGTGGGATTTGAACCCACAGTCCCGGTGACTAAGCGGCACAAGGCCCACAGATTTAAACACACTACTTAATCCAGCCACTAAAAAAGTTATCTAAAATTTCAACAGGAAGGCACAATACTAAAAAATACAGGAGCGAGAGGAAAGTGACATGATGGATAACAGCACAGTAAACTAACTGACAACCATTTTTAAGAATTACAATAAACATTTTATAGTTGTATGATATGGAGCTTTCACAGTGACTAAGTATAATGAATTCTTCTAAGGCCACCAGCCGTGACAGGTGATTGAATGGAGAAAACGACAATGTTTTGAAAACCATCTTTGTCCTCGTACTGAGTACCCTGAGGATGAGGGCAAAGACGGTTGTCGAAATGCTGGTGTTTTCTCCATTCAACCACCTGACATGGCTCGCAGCCCAAGAAGAATTCATTTAACATTTTATAGCATCAACATTCCTAAGGGTTTCAAACTGTTACAATATCTAAATAGGATTCATTTTAATTTGTAAGTACAATTATTTCAGATATACAGGGAGGTTCTTGAGGGAGGTAATGTTATTGTTTCATAACACACAAGATTATTTTGTACACATTAACCAAATGTGATGCACTGTAAGGTGACACTAACAGAGACCAAAACAGATTTGTCATGGTGTATTTTGATATCCAATGCCAAGAATAATTTGTCGGTGTATCAAAAGAACATTTACACTAATGTAACATGTAACGTTTAATAGCTTCATCACCGCAATGGAAACCCTGAAGATGAAAAACAGAAATTTCCAAATCATGTAGGTGTGATTATTACAATTTAACTGTCTAAACTCTAACAACCACTGCTTCGGAAATATTCTCATATTGATAAAATACTCTGTCTATGTGACTTCTGACATACACCACAGTTTCCAGACGTCTATTTTCCAACAAGTCATTCAACTGCGTTTCCTTACCCAGCAACTCTGAAGTCTTTAATGAGAATAAAATTAACAAACCTCATCTTATAGTGTCATGCACACAAACACACAAAGCAACAACAAAAGCCAACACAAACTGGAACTACAGCCATTCCCAGACTCACACAACTTCTCTGTAACTGCAACACACAGTGGAACTACAGCCATTCCCAGACTCACATAACTTCTCTGTAACTGCAACACACTTTCAACCAAAACATTACGTCTCACCATTACACTCAAACTTAATTTAATCAGAACGCTTCACCTGTGACTGACATTCATGACTGCTCTGATAATGTTACCACCTTAAAGCCAGAACTTTGGCTATGCCAACAGAAATTACATCCGCTACGGAGCAATGCTCTGTCCTTGTGTAAATATCACGAATAACGCTACAGGGAGCGATCGGATAAAAGAAAATATTCTGCGAAGGGAGGAAAATAAAATGTTTCTGTGATAAATATATGCACAAAACATGTGACTCAAAGGACAGCAGCTGGAAGTGATGGACCAGAACATTTATAATGTGAAGGTACGAAGGAAAGAGAGGACTGGAACAACTGACATGTGTAGAGAACATAAACTGTGGCCAATCAAATGGAAAAATCGCACACGAAAGAAGCAGGGTCTGGCGAACATAATTTGAAACTACGTGATTCTTCTTCACTCCACCCAAACGCTGGCCACACATTCCTCTACTTCAGGAAAACATCATCCTATGAGGTAGACTTTTCACTTGCTCAAATTTGGTTTCACGCCTATCTGCTGTGGTTTGGGAATGGCTGCTAAACAAAACAGAACAGACTTGACGTTACCTCAGACTCGACAGATGTGAGTTTTGAAAGCAGCATGTGCCTCTTCTGGTTGAGGAGGTCACGCAGCATATCAGCTGCAGACTGATTGTCTGGCCCTTCCTCTGCCCCAGGTCCTTGGAGTGGATCATGAACCAGCCTCACTGATGGGGGTGAATCTGCAAGGAGCATGAGAATGAATACATCTAATGATGCATGCGATGTACAGAAACCATAGAAAATAGGATAAAAATTGATTGGCTTGCTGTATGCAGTATGCCACAGGAAGTGGACTGGCTTTATATGGAATTCATGGGAAATGGATAAAAAATGGGACTAGGTTTACAGGGCACTGCAGAAAGTTGAACAAAGTCAGGTCAGAGCAAACACAAAACAAACTAAAAATGGAACTAGCTTTATAGGCTGGAGAATATTGACAGATACTGGAAATGGCTTTCTAACCACATTATTCAATATATTCACAACTAATCTCCAGAAAACAGAATCAAAATTACTCTAATTTTATACAAGTCGCAGAAAGTGGTCAAACCAACCGGGCAAACTTTATAAGAAGCTCACATAAACTAAATTAAAAATGGAACTAGCTTCTTACAGAACCACAGAAAGTGGATGAATGTTGGTTCTGCTTTAAAAATAATAAAAAAATACTAAAATGAAACCAAACTAGCTTATTAAAGGGTCATAGAAAGTAGATGATGGGAATGTTACAGAAAGAGGACAAACAATGAGGCCGGTCTTAAATGGAGCTAACTGAAAATGGTCAAACAGAGAGCAGCAGAATGTAGAAAACCAATGGGGGTGGCTTTATTGTGGCTACAGAGAAAGGACTAAAAATGGACTTGCACAAAATAACGAAAGCCCATTAGACAGAACACCCACCATAGATGCCGGCTTGAGAAGACTTCCGTGAGGCAGAATCCTGCTGATAGAAATCAAGGTGAGGGAGGGGCGAGCCATCATGTGGGCTGATAGGAGACTTCAGGTTCTCACGGCTCCCATACGGACTGGAAGCCTGAGACATCATGGCTGTGCCTCCTGCTCCAAGGTCCAGCCCATGAGTT